GATAGATAGATAGATAGATAGATAGATAGATAGATAGATAGATAGATAGATAGATATTCTCTGTAAGCAATGAGAAAGTCCTTCTAATTGGCGTACATCAGGTGTCAAAAAGGTCCAACCCAGTTTAGCTTTTTCAAGATCAGGCAGCAGCACTGGACAACCTTGAGTGATCTTGAAACTGGGCTGGATTTTGGTTGCTACTTGGATGGGAGACCCACAAGGGGCTGTAGACTAGGTTGGAAAATAAAAACCAAACAAAATAAAAACCTGGAAGGCAAGGGCAAACTACTCCTGAATTGCTGCCAAGAAATGTCTGTGAATCAAGCTTACTTTCAAGACATCTTTACTTTTTCTCTGAGCTAATGAATGTGTTTTTGTTTTTTGATAGAAACTTCCAAAAATGTAGAACAGGCTTAAGATGTGCTGGCTTTATATTTTGTCAGTTCTGAGGACTGTCAGTTAAGAAAGGGCTAAAATTGAAGTTTTATTCAATTTGAGCAGGTGCAACCATCAACATTGGGGCTGAGTCCCATAATTTCCCTCCTATCCCTCTTGTGGATCAGGAAAGGTAATTGGTGGCAGAGCTAAATCCTGATTCTTTCCCTTCAAATAGTTACTCTCCAGCTGGTAATCAAGTCACCAGAAACGTAGAAAGCCTCAAAGACACCTTGTGTTTCTTCTTGTTGGGAAAGAGTGGAGCTGAAGCCCTGCACATCTCTTGGTTATAGGCACTCTTCACTCTCTGATGGTCAGGTTCAGCTGGACTGGCCTTGTCCCCTTTGGAAAGTTAAAGTGTGTCCAAAGTAGAGCTATGCTTGGGAATGTGCCAGCTGAAGTGGCCACAACCTGGGCTCCTGCACCTTCAATGAGGATTCAGACTACTTCCAGCCCTTGAAGACCAAATGGAGTGACCTGAGGTTACCCATTCTGTTTCCAAGACAGAGACTTTAGAACACCAATGGCACAACCAGTCTTACCAACATGAGCTAAATATATAATTCTTGAGACCTTGGACCTGTGCCTGGAGCTGCCATTGTATCTATGAAGCCAGAGAATGGAGGCATTTCCATCAGTACATTGCAATGGGGGTGGGGAGTTCTCCTGCAGCTGCTTCTTGACCAGGAAGAATTTTCTTCCCTATTAGTACATAAGAAAGTATTTCTTCACATAGGAGCAAAGTCCTTCTCTGTTGAAAAACACCTTTTTTTCTCCTTCTCCATTCTCATGTTTGCGTATAGTTTCTCCTGTCCTTCCCCTCTTTTCCACAGTGGGTGACAATCAAGAGGGAGACCTGCCTACGTTTTGTGATTTGCAGCCATTTTCTGGTTTCATCCACATTTGTTAAAATGGCAAATTGTGTCCACAGGCCCTAAATGGTAAAAATACAAGAGGAAATGAAACTTACATTTTAAAGGAGGTCTCCAGAGTATTGGGCACTGGCCAGACCATGGAATGCAGACTGAGATCTTTTCAGAAGCACTAGGAAGCCACTGCCACCCATAATCCACCACTGGGGGCCTGAGTTTGCAGCTTTTTGTTCCATTTTTCCAAACCTTTCCTGCAGGTTGCTGGCATGAATTAGCTGTCCCATCAGCAAAAGAGTTTTTAAAAGGAGAGGGAAATCTACAGGTTAGGGTAGGTAGCCTTCCTGATGGGTCATGGGTGCATACATAGATGACTTGCGTGAAAGTCATACAACCCACTCTCATTTGCTGAAGTACAGTAAAAAAGCTAGAAGGCAATACTTAGCGATACTCCTATGAAAGTAAAGGCTATTGCAGCAAAGACTGTGAGTATAGGAGCATTATTTCCCTATACCTTAAACACAATCCACAATCCTTTTGTCCTTGGCAAAAAGCTGATTAAACTACAGTACCTAGCAGAGGTGTTTTCAATTTAACACGCATCCTTACTCATTTTCTTCTCCCTCGTGTAGTTTTTCCATAAGCAGCAAGCTTCTCACTAAGATTCTCAGTGTGTTTACATGCTAGAATCTGTGATTTTCCTTAATGACTTAATTTAATATACTTGCGGCTGAAAAGATATCAAATGAACCACTCCCTATTTAAAACCACATTGGTCAAGTGTATCTTTGTGGCCCAGCACATGAATACCCCCTGCAACATCTGCCTCTGGATAAGGTTAGGGCCAGATTCAACCCAAGTATGATAAAAAAAATTTTTAAAAAAACCTTTATTAAAATGTTTTGGATACAGACAAACCTTCTCTGCAAATATGTTTCGCATTTCCAGAAATGGGAAGTTAAAACATTTTGCTAACAGAATGATGTTTTACTCTACTTTCCAATCTGTAATCCAGTTCCTAAGGAATATATTAAACTTTATATCCAGACATTGCAAGGAGACTTGTCCAAAGACAGTACATGGCAGGCAGAAGGGAAAACAGATCAGAGCTATGCACAACCATTTTCTCCAGTGGCTGGGACACCACTTTCATAGAAATTGCTTCTTCTGGGCACCAACTTATAGCTCTGCTTACCAGGGCCTTCTTTTTAAGCATGTAGCTGGAGGCAAAGGTTATCAAGCCTCATTGATCCAAGGGGAGCCATCCATTGATATCCCTTGAGTATAGCAGCCATTAAGAGAATTACAGGTGCTCGCTGTAACAGAGGCTACATTATTTGCACCTGATCAATATTTTTTTCGTGGACTCCTGTACACTAATAGTTTTCCACATCTCCTTGGCACCGTATGCACAGGCACTTTGGCCTAGGAATTATTCACAAATTATTGAAAAGCTTCTTATGTAAAACCCAAAGGTTTTACAGACCAAAAGTGAACTCAACAATGATGCTGAAAGTAGTCATTTTGATGAAGGCATTGCAAACAGTTCAAGAATAACCACGTCAGAAAAGAGCCTGGTTAATTCTAATGGGACTCTTCCCTAATTCTCCTTTTCAGGAATTGGCTACTCTGTCATAGCTCTTCCAATGGAAACGTGAGTTAAATTACCTCCGGAATTGCATGCTGGACTCTTTCAACCTGTACAGTTTTAAAACGCTTCATATTCGCAAAATAGTCAGCCCTTTTTGTAGGCAGAGAAGTAGAAAATTTATCCCAACTGATAGCTGCATCACATACTTCAGAAGGCTCCATGAGTTTTTACCTGAAATGTTAGTATCTTTAAATAAAGACCAGTTGGTATGCCAATGCACTGGAGGAAACCGACTTAGATGTTATTAAAACTGATGTTCAAAATCACCCACAGAAGGATTTCTGGGATGTCCAACTGTTAATGATTCACTTCTTTTCCTCTCAATGAATCTGATGCTAAGATAAAGAGCACTAAATCATAACTAGCATTTAAGTGAACATACACGAACCCTAGCAATAGTGTTATCATTCAGTGGAGTTAAGTGCCTATAGTGTACTGCCATTTTGCATTCCATATTTTGTAATGGAGCCAGCAAACCAGTGTCTTCAGGCATAGGGTCCCTTGCATTCACCAAAGTAAATCTATCCATGAGCACTAGAATAGTTTTAACTAAAGCATCATCACACTCCGGCAAAGGAGAAGAATGCCTGTTTTAAGTGAAAATGAAAATGTCTAGCAAAGTAATGAAAATTCAAACACAAGTTCTGTTGAGTATAAAAGAAACAGGGTTAGTTTACATTAACAGCATTTGATACGCACTTGTTGGAACAATTTAATGCTACAATAACCCAACAAAATAAATTCATGATTTCTACTGCCTTTTTTTTTTTTTTTTGCAGTTGCCTGCAATGTAGAACATCTTGTATTGTAGGTCCAAGACAAACTTTCTGCTGGTGCTGCAAAGAAGAAGAAATAAAAAAGACTGCCAATTGGGAAAGTGATCGTAACTTTTAGAGGTGGGCAAAAGGGATCAACCACATTTCAGACTCCTACACATAATGACAAGGAAGGCTAGAATAAGTATGCCTCTGGGTGTACTCCATTTCCCTCCCAACTAAATTCCCTGTAAATTAAAGAAAAATCATTGCACAAGTCAGTCCCAATAGCACCATCTTCATGATCAAGCAGTGTGACAGCGCAACCACCTTATAGGGCAATGAAAGCCATCTCTCTGTTTGCTAAAGATTTTGAATATCATGATAGCTGGTTCAGTCATTTGGGAACCACCTAAATACCATTAAATAGATTAAAAAAAATCCTAACAGACTCTGGGCCCGAACAGGATGAATGCTAACTTAAGAAATCTAAAGGGACACCATTTACATCAAACACTTTCTTTAAAAAATATAGTTGCTTTCTTTGAAATCAATTGGCCACAGTGGTGAGACATGTTCTCTTTTCCAGCCACAAGAGGGCCACACCCAGAGCTTGGCATTCCAGCTCACCCATCCCATTGTAACTGAAAGCCATGGTTTCCATAGGAAACAATGGCCACTGGAAGTGACAACCTGCACCAGTGTACAGAATGTTATCTCCCAGACACAGGGAAAAGAATTGTGTCACCACTGTGATATAGGGTAACTGAAGAAAGGAGTCTCTTGGTCATTGCCAGTATGCAGATGGAGAGTCTTCCATGTTCTAATAGAAAAGTCCATAAGGAATTTGTGAACAGGATCAGTCCAGGAATAGATTTGTCTCTCCAGTATCAGTCAATATACTGTGACAGCCAACGAAAACCTTCACCGTAGCCTTGCCTCTTCAGTACACTGCACATGAACACTTCCATGGGACGTGTGTTCAAGTCCTTCAGTGGCACATTCCCCTAGAGAATTAAACAAGAATTCATTCAAAAGGACTCAGTTGCTGAATTTTAATTGCATGGGCAGAAACTCTGGGCATCCGATCACAGAGACTAAGACAAATATAGCAAGCTTTCTTATGAATGCATAGCCGTATTTGATTTCACAGCTGTAAGATCGTTCTTGGTTAAACCCTCTGGCATTGTTTTTGACAGTGATCCAAGAGCCACAATGAAACTAACAACAACAAAAAGATTGTCAAAAAACTGTGCACCTCAGGAGAGGAAGGTAGAGAAAAAGCCAGGCCAAGGAACATAAGCCATAAGCTCCATCAATGACCTAAGAAACCCGTTGAGCAGCCTTTCCCTTATCTTCCTTGTGGTTACTTACTCTCTGCACATTGTAAGAGTAAACTGTGCTTCAGAGAAGAAAATAAGTTTTTGTACATTTTGTTTTAGTTTTTTGAATAGCTAAATCACTGTGTAACTCTGGGACATATAAGAAAACAAGTAAGTTATTTAAGCCCACAGTAAAAGGCGTATGCTACAAGTTTTTCTATCTATCATCTAGCAATGCTCTTGTGCTTTCTAAGAAAGACAACAAGCCAATCTCTAAACAAAATGAAAAAATACTAATCAGACACCAAAAATATGATATTCAAAAAAGTGTGAGAATATTTTAGTTCCCAGGATATCACTGCAGGCTGAATTAACTGAAGTCTTTCCAATGGAAAGTTCAAGTATAAAACTGATTATGTCACAATGGGCATTGATTAGCATATCCTTCCTAGTTCTATTATTATTGCTGCTGCTGTCCACAATCAGTTTAATTGTCTTATAAACATTTAAGCATCACTAAATATATTTGTCACATCTTGTGGCATTTGATTCTAACTTCGGATTCTAACTCGTGGCATTTTCTCCACACCTACGTACAATCAGCTGAAGTTAACAATTCGTGCCTCCAAGGAGGTGGACTCTGGTACATAAAAACTAAATATGTGGGTTATTAACTTACCATACAAAACAGCCATTCATTTTTAAACAGACACACACATATAGTTCAATTACTTTTAACTGGATCAAAGAGCAACTGACCCAGTAAGCAGCAAAATGTATAAAATTAGGCTATTCTACATTAATTTAATAAATTCCTTTGTACCATACTTGGATCTATTATAAGCTGCTACCTGTGTTCCTATAGTATTTTAAGAGCCAAAGTTGTGAATCTTGATGTACTATAGTACTCAGAAAATATATTTTGAAAAATAGGGTACATTAGTTTTACAGCCAAGCTTGATTCCTTACCTTTCCTGTTGTCTGTCCATAAAGACCAAAAATCTCTCGCAGTTTCTCCTCACTGATAGCTTCTGGTCGGTCAATTTTGTTACCCAAGATAAGAATTGGCACATTGGATATTGTTTCATCAGTCATTAGCGCCTAAGGAAAAAAAAAAGGAAAATACTTGTGCAACTATGTAGCTGTAGAAAGCAAGTAATAATTTTAAGTAGGAATTCCAAACCTAACTTCAGAAAGTGTTATTGAAAGCATTCCTAGACAATAGATACATACATATTTCATCTTGACTGTATTTGGAATACTTTAAGTCATGACATCACCTTACAAAGCCAAATATCATAATAGTAGCATGTAACTTACAGCTCAAATCTATGAAACATAGTCCAAATTATGTATAAGAACTAAGTACTGCTTTATATTTGCCTGTTTGCTCATACATGCAGATTTTAAGCTAACATGTTGTCCAAGATGGGAAAAGAATATACAAATGCTACAATTGGTACTAGTGCATTCAAAGGAAAAAGTTACCCACATTGAGCTCCACTTTAGACTCCATAAGACGGGGGTGATCTGCACAATCCACTAAAAAGACAATCCCATTAATTGCTGGAAAATAATTCTTCCAGACACGCCGAGCTTCAAGGGAAAGAAAAACACTTGTGAAAATGTAGCAACAGCATACCACCAACAGCAATAACTGGATAGGAAACAATGGATATTTTGAGTATCCTGAGCAATTTTCACATTCCAGCTTGCTATCAGAATCAAACATGTATTGCACTTAGTCTTTTGCTAATTAAGCTGTGCAGTTTAAAGTGTGTGCTTAGCACAGTATTTGAGGATCCTGCATACCTACAGGCACTTGTTTTGCCTTAAAAACCAATATATAGCAATCTCTCTCAGATTAATCAGTAAGGAAAAGACAGTAACAAGCATTAATATTGATTACCTTGCTCATGGCCACCAAGATCAAAAGTGGTGAAAGTCATTCCTGCAATTGTTAATTCTTCTGATGCTAGAGAAGAGAAGAACGTTTTACAGCCTTTAGCAGTGGATATGGTGTTTTTTTTTTTGTTACAATGGCAATTTCCAGAAGGCATAAGCTATTTAAGATTCCCCAACCTAATGTCTTTCAGAAGTGTTCATACAATCAAAGAGCTGGAAGGGCCTATATAACCAGTGAATCCAACACCTGCATAGTGCAAGAAAAAACTAAAGCACCTTCAACAAAAGTCTATCTAACCTCTCTGCTTGAACATACCCAATATATAGGATCGCATAGCCTACTTAGGTAAATGACTCCATATAAATAATGAATATTCATAGGAATCCCCAAAATTCCAAGCTACATGGATAAAGATAATTCTGGTTGGGAACTAAACCCAACACTTCCATAAGCAGTGGGGTGGGAAAGCTGCATAAGATCTTAAAACACATATAGGTTAATTTGACATGTCAGATGTTGTTGGACTGAAATTTCCATAATTCAGTCACTTTCATCATACTTGCTAGCACGGATGGGAACTGAAGTTCAGCAACATACCAATGCCCAAAATCGTATCTTGAATCTTCCAATTCCTCCTAACTCAAATGTAATTTATGAACATTTGCATTTAATGTAACACATTGAATCATAATCTTGAGCCTAATCTCTTTTATCATTTCTGGGTAATAAGACTCACAAAATATATTCAATGTCAGTTTCAAAACAATAAGAACAAATATGAAACAAATTTATTTTTTTAAGTATACTAAACTTTAACATTTATTAACATACAATAATGTTCTAAAATGACATCAATATATAACTCCAACTATAACTACGTGGTGCTTACTTGGATGCAATGTGGGAACATGTTGACCCAATCGGTCATCCTTTAGCATGTGAAGAAGAGTAGTTTTGCCTGCATTATCCAAACCCAAGAAAACTAATTTTCCAGACTTCTTGTACAATCCTGTGGAAAAGCAGCATGTATAAAATAAACTGAATATAGTGGATTAAGGTACACTATAAAACATGTGCCAGTTTGGAGTGGTAGTTAAAGGCACTGGGCTAGAAACTGGGAGACCATGAGTTCTGGTCCTGCCTTAGGCATGAAGCCAGCTGGGTAACTTTGGACCAGTCAGTTTCTCTGAGCCCTAGGAAGAAGGCAATGGAAAATCACCTCCAAAAAACATTGCCAAGAAAACTGCAGGGACTTGTCCGTGTAGTTGCCAGGAGACAAGATTGACTGGAAGGCATAAAAAATAAATAAATGGGTTTTTAAGACATATGTTGAATACCCATGCTTTCTCAGATATATTTTCAAAAGATCTGATCAATAGCTTCCAAAAGAAAATGTCAGTATTATCACTAGCAAGCACTTATCTAGTGCTTTATGAAGATATGCAAAGAAATTAAAATATACAATTATTAGAGATATGCAAAACATTCTGGAAAGCTGTTTTTGCATGATCTTGTATAGCCAGAACTGAAAGATATGTTGGGGATAATCTGATTTATACAGGACCAAAATGGGGCTGGCTTAGGCTGGGGATGATGGGAATGGCAGTCCAACAGATCTAGAAAGTATCAAGTTGTGGATGGCTGCTCTAGAATGTGCTTTTGGCTTATATGGGATGCGGGCCAAGCCTGTTGAGCATTCTTATTCCTCAAAGTGAATATTCTCCTGCAACAACTATGCAGAAGGGAAGGTGCTGGGGAAATTGTGGATGGGGGGATGTGCTGCACTGGGATACTGGCAGTGAAGGAAAGGTATCGGGAAGGACCAAGGGGGCCAGAAGGATATGCCCTGTTGTGACACCGATGTCAAGAAGGGAGGGAAAGGCACAGGGAAGATCAAGGGAGCAAACCAGCCACGGGCATGTACCACCATGGCAGCTGCTGCAGGAGTAGTGGTGTTGTTGATATATACTAGATTACTCATCCCAAATGGATTTTGTTATCATCCAAAACTTTGAAGTATCCTGTTTCAGGCTTCATTTCTGCTATATTGTGGCTGACCTAAAAGCAGTTCAGCAGAATTTCTGGAACTCAGTATTTTTTTCTGGGATTGAAACATTCCCATTTTGTGCATAATAAATAATTATTACTACTTAGGTACTATTCATATTTTTGCTTTCACTTAGTTTTACTTCTTATTTTATCATTATACTGGGGGGGGGGAATGATGTGTTTCCTGTATTTCTAGAAAGATGTGGATATAAAAGCAAAGTAGACTGATTTTAATGTCTTAACTTGACTACTTTGCTGTCCATGTCACTCATTTAGCAATATAAAATAAGGTAAAATACATCATAATAAGGTGTGACTTGCATCTCAATCACTTATAGAATGGTTTTATCATTCTATCACATAGAATGGCACAATATAAAAAATGAAAAGATAAAACTGGTACCCGACCACACAGAATTATTAACAGTTTGTCTGGAGGTATCAGTGCCTTCTTACTATACCTATCTAAAAAACCACTCATTTCTAGGTTATTAAGTAAGCCCCTGAAAATTCATTGATAAACATTTGAACTCTTACCTAGGAACTGCAGCACACTGCTGAAGCCATTATAGATCCATTCAAATAAGAACGACATTATGGAAGAATTATGTGCCTAGAAAAAAAAATAGGCACATTTAATTAAAAGTCTTAACAACATAAGGGGACACTATAACACTTGTTTGTGAACTAGCAGCCAGATGAAAATCTATATCCAAGTACTGACAAAAAAGAAAAGAATTGCAATTCATTCTCAGTTCTGAAGATAGCAGGAAAAAATCACACTTACAAAATAACTTCAGTATCTCTCTATATCAACAGGATTGAGATAACTAACCTTTCATGAACAAAAATCAAGTTCTATTCTGAGCAGAGAAAGGACAGAATTGGCAAAAGACAGTAAAATGATAATCATAGCTATGACCTTTTGATATAAGTTCATGGACTCAATGTTATGTTTCTGCTCTCATCAGTGCACTTGCCTGACAACATGGTGGCCAAGAGCAAGGCTTTTTCATTGGCAGCCTATAATTATGAACCTGTGTCCAATAAAATGTTGGGGTAGCCCCACACTGTCTTCTTAAAAAAAAACTGAAAACATCATTGCTCCCCAGACATCAGTAGGATAACAAATTATCCAGAGTTATGCAGTGGCTTAAAATGCCAATTTCTAAAATGAACTTTAGTTTAATGTTTTTATGTATTATTTTTAAGCACTTTTTGCTTTATTTTTTAAAAGGTTGGTTTACTGCTCTCTTGTAAACTATGCTAGGCTTCTCTGGAATGAAAAGCAGTACAGAAAAAAAGAAAAAATCTACATCATGCCCCTCTTCTTAAAGCTGTAAGGAGGGGCATGATTTGATTAAAATTAATTTATTTATATTTCAAATTTAGTCACTGCCCATCTCTCAAAGAATGACTCTGGGCGGTTTACAATAAAAACAAGAATACTAATTGAAGTACAATAAAACAAATTAAAAAAAATGAAGGGTGCAGGGACACTGGGACAAAGCTATTATATTCTCTACATTTTGAATCCTGAATAACACTCTCACCAGCTTTTTTCTGTCTTTTCTAAAGAATAAACACACTGATAAGCATGTGATTGTTTTAATAGAATTGTATAATATAATTGCCCAAATCAATTCCAGACTTAATTCAGCTCCCAAAATGGTTTTCACAGTTAAGACATAATTCTGAAACACATTAAATAGTAAGCAGTTCTTGCCAAGGAAATAGTACTTTTTTTTTCAATTAAGAAACTGACACTGCCATACAATATATATAAACAAATTTAAGTTTTACTGAATGTAACTTATTTCTGAGAGGCCTATGAAAGATTGCATTGCAACTGAAATTCCAGGGCTTCTAAGACAGGAACTACAGAGAGATATAAATGTCAACATTTCTAAATTTCTACATAACTCTGAAGAGTTAACCTGATTAGAAAGCCTAGAAAAATGAACTTTTGTTTTTAGAAAGGATACTGCACACTGATAAGAAACCTCTCAATGATCTATTCTTAATTTGCACACATGAAAAAACTGCATTCTTCTCTCTTTTCACCAAATCAGGGTTTATTCTCCTGCCAATGAGCAACTGGGCAAGGAGCAGGCACACAACAGATACAGTATTTCCAATCACTCATAACCTTTAAACAGAACAGACTGCTAATGGAGAAGAATAAATTGCAACCATACAGCATGGGGGCTTGATAAGGGTAAAGTCAAAATCAAGGATTAAAGAAGCAGTCAAGATACTTCAGTTACATTATCTTGTAACACACATAACCCAGTCAACACCTAGTTGCATAAGCCTGAGGGTGGCACAGAGTAAATATATGCTTCCAAATCTACCTGCTCAGATATTGCTCATTCCAAAACAAGGAGGGCATGAGAGGCCTATTGGAATACCTTCTTTTGCAGCCCCGCTCCTCAATTTTGCAGTAGTACACAAGTCAACATCACCGTGTTCTACTTTTTTTATTTATTTAGTTCATTAAATTTATTAGAGCCATCCACTCCAGCAGAATCCGGGTGGCTTACAAAATCGAATTCTAAGTTAAAACAATTAAAAACATAAGACAAAACAAAGCAGCCCAAACTGAAAACAGCCATTAAAACATAGCGCGACAGCCCACTCACCCCCTGCTTTATTTTGGAAACAGCAATTATTGGAAGCCGAGGGAAGAATGCCTTGGGTCCCGGCCACAGGCAGTAGGATCCACGCTCGATCTGCCAGTTTCCAGACAAACAAACAAACAAACAAGCTCCATAAGAAACCGAAAAAAGAACCACTTGATTGGAGATAGGCGATTATATAAATATGACGAATAAATAAATACCGAAACCACCCCAGCTCAGCCGCAGGAGAGCGGAAAGTGGCACCCAAACCAGGCTCAGAAAAGCCTCCAGTTCCCCACCTCCCAAGAAGGGGCTGGATCAGTTCCCACCGCCCGAAGG